AAAATCTGGGTTTTTTGAGCATTTAGAAACTAAATTTATGAGACGGTTGTTGTCAGATTTCATTGGTGATTTCAAATATGAAATGTAATCGTAAGCTTGGTGAACAGCTTTGGAGAATATGATCTTTCAACAGTCGAGCCGTACTTGCGTGACTGAAATAGCTGCCCGAGAGGCGTTCCAAAGAAGTCCGCCAAGTGAAATGACTTGCCTTAAAGAATTTACATACATTGACCATATTTACATAATTAATCTTGTCCCCAGGCATCCAAAAATGTGGAGAGTGCTACAGGACAACCAGTGGAGGCTGAGAGCGAAGCTGCTGCATAGACTCCCACTGCCAACCAAGCTGACTGACAGAGCCTCTGCACAGCCCAAAGAACAGAACCGTTAAAGCTAATTATGACCTGCCCCACTGAGAGGCCTTCCGCCCAAGCCTTCTGTCTTTTTGAATACCTCCTCATTAGATATACAAGACTGCTACAGGGTTTGTGCAGTTTACTTGCAATTGGTTGTCTTTAAATGAGGCTGCTCTTAGAGAGGAGTGTACGGATGCGCAGGCAGATACTGTCCAACCGTGTTTACAGGAGGCGAGTGCTGGGGTTCTTTTGACCCTCTCTGTCATTGTACAAGCATCATGAACAATAAAAGTGTAATGGTGGCACTGTTAAGGCAGCATTGCTGTGAAGTGCCATTCATGTCCATGCAAATGAGATCCCTGTTTGAAATCTGTTAAAGATTGAGTTTTTGTTTTGTTTTTTTGGGAAATGATCATAGTTTGTATTGATGACCTGTAATGAGTCTTTGGAGCAGTAACTGCCTCACCACAACTTAAATATGGCAAACAACTACAATAGAAGCACTGTTTATCAATTTGGTAAGCTTTGATTTCTGTTAAGATGACATTTAAGCATTCGTTTTCTAGTATTTCACAAATTATAAAATTGTTTCATGTAGATCTTCCCTTCAGTTTATTAGTCTGACTCCTGAAACCATTGTTTTTTGACTAAACTGACCAAATTATCCTGCCATTTTATAAGCGTACATCTAATAAATTTAATTAGCCAATTTATGTATCAGAGCCTGGTTTGTTTCAATTTAAGCACTCAAATATTACTATTTTTTTACTCTGTGGATAACCTTATGTACTTCTAAACAACTGTGATGCATGAATCCATCAGAATGCAGTCATGTGATAAGCAGTGGCCCCAAAGGGAAAAGTTGTTTGAATGTCAGAAGATGCAAAATGTCAAACCAAGTGGCTGGCATCTGCAAAACCAATGACATTATACATTTTTTAGAGGGAATTTATCTGAGCCATTCTTGCAATAACTTAACCAACTGGTCCCAATGTGTCCTAGTAGAGAAGTGGTTGTAGGTCCAGTTTTATATAAATTGCTATTATTATATTAGTCAAATCTGCATTGTACTGGAGCCAACACATTTTATTTTTCTGCTAATTTACTATTTGTTTTTACTCAAACTACGCCTGAAACTCCTCTGTTATCTCTAGCTTTTTTAAGTTGGATGATTAAATGCTGTGGCAAAATCCTCAAGTTGGTATTTTAGACAATTGAAAACATGGTTGTTTTTTCATAAATAGAAAACGGTTAAGAATATGTCCATGAGAGGATCAAATTACTCCGAATCATCAAAATATCTAATATATATATATTAGGGGTGTAACGATACCCTCATGTCACAATTCGATACATATCAAGATACTGAACTCAGAATACGATGATATTGCGATAAAAAATGTACTGTTGATTAAAATGCTAAATTTGATATTACATTGTGGGTGTAAATGAATAGGCTTGGACTTTGTGCTGGTAACCCAATGCACAGGACAATAGTGACACCAGAATAAAAATATTCATGATTCTGAAGCTGAAAATATAGAATTATGTCACTGACTAGATATATTTAAAATAATCTTGGCCACTTTTTATTGGTTAAATAAGACATTTGGCATTATCAGGATCCATAAATATTCCCCCATTACATTATATATAGCAGTTTAATGTAGTACTGACACTAAAACTCTGAAAACGTATAAATTATATTTATATAAATTTTCATTTTGGCTGAACTATACACAATACAGAATCAGATTGTCACTATCCGATAGATATTGTTGTATTTTTGTATTGCAATATTGTGACACGATATTGGTACAACGCCCCTAATATATATTTATATTTATTATTATATACAACACCCCTTTTATATATTAGGGGTGTCAACATTTGAGGTGGATCAAAAAAGTTAATCAAATTTGTCCTAAGACAATAACGGATATTGTTCAAATTTAATGTGCAGTGCGTGCAGAATTATTAGGCACGTTGATTTTCTGATCATATTTTTTTTTTTTCATTTTACCAATTCCAAACCACCTTAATCTTAGTAAACTAATTTTGTATTTAATCATTTATAAGTGATGTATAATTGTTCATGAAGGCTGGAAATAAGAAGCGCCTTATATTCAGGTGTGCATAATTAGGCACGTTTTCTTTTACAGATAAAATAAGCCAAAAAAGAGATTTAACTCAGACTGAAAAGTAAAAAATTATTAAATGCCCATGAGAAGGATGCAATACTAGAAATTGCATGTAAGGCATGACTATTGGACAGTGAAATGCTCATTGGGTCAGCAGGGTCAGACAAAAACAGGTGGAGAAGAAAAGACACGTTAACTGCAAAAGAATGAAGAATTAAGTGTGAAACCATCAGGAACCCTTTAGTCTCCAGCGCCATTATATTCCAGAACTGCAACCTACCTGGAGACTTCAGAAGTGCAAGGTGTCAGGATCTCAGAGACTTAGGTAAGGTAAAGAATCCTAAAAAACAACCCCCACTCAATAAGAATCACAAGCTGAAGAGTAGGAAAATACACGAAGACAGTTTTTTATTAGAGACAGACAGATTGAGAGTGACTCTTGAAGGACCAGCACCACATCCTCTCGTACCACAGTTTGAAGAATTCCTCTTTCAGAATCTGGCTGTAAGTTTTGGGAGTTCCTTTTTCAGTCCATCTCTGCAAACGGACTTCAGGGGAGGTGCTAGACTGAAAATGAACTCCCAAAACTTACTGCCAGATTCTGGAAGATGAATTCTTTAGCAGCAGATCAGCATATTAGACTGATTTCTGAAGGATCATGTGACCCTGAAGACTGGAGTAATGATGCTGAAAATTCAGCTTTGATCACAGGAATAAATTACATTTTGAAATATATTTAAATAGAATACAGTTATTTTAAATCGTAATAATATTTCACAATATTACTGTTTTTTGTTGTTGTATTTTTAATCAAATAAATGCAGCCTTTGGTAAAAGACTTCTGTTAAAAACATTAAAAATCTTACCTATTCCAAACTTTTGAACGGCAATATATTTTTTATAAGTTGTAAAATAAATGAAATATTAGAAAACTATTTAGCCTACACATAGAAGATTTATATTTATATATAATAGATTTTTAAGGTAGTGTAAGGCTGGAAACTTATGCTGCTATTTTGAACCAATAATCAGAACAAAATGCAGTTGAAGGATGACGTGAATAATTCATATATATATATATATATATATATATATATCTGACTCCATTAAAGTTGTTATTAATCTTTAACCTCTTATTTTTTTAAAGGTAAAGGTCTTTCTTAGAACTGATATGAAAACGTAGGATTTAACCTGAACGTTTAGATAACGAAAGTTACAATCACTTTAGCTTTCAACATAATCAGTGATAAAAGGAAAGATTCTCAAAGCCTTTAAAGCAGGCAAAGATATTTATTAAGTTACATGTTTAAATATAGCACAGAGAGTAGAATAGAACAACAAACTGTATATAGAAAACTTAGTTGTAACAAATAATGCACTGTTGTGCAGAAGAGGCCGTAAAAGCCTTTCTGGTAGTATGAGGTTAAGCGGGAGTGGCGGGGTTAAAGCCTTTCTCCTAGATCAACAGTTACCTTTCCTTCTTATACCCTGAGCAAAGCATTGTTAAACATGAGTGGAATACCAACACCGAAACCGACCGACAGAAAACCAAAAGATGAGGCAAATGGGTGGTGATCAAGAGGGGGAGAAGAACATTAACATATTCTCCTCAATGCATGTTTAACCAATAGTATAGATTGTACATTAGGATACTTTAATATTAAGTTCACCACCATTCATTTCAGTTTAAGCTGTCAGATGAGACCAAACATGGCATAGTAGTTACATATTAGAACACATTAGTAAATAAACAGTAGCATGTAGTTGAAAGCATGTCCTGCGGAGCAAATGGTATAGGCCTACAGACGTGTCATTGAGGTTCAAATGACTCTGTCTCTCCTGAACCATCCTGTGGCTGGAGTGTCCCAAAAGTCCTCAATCAGCATATTGATGAAATCCCTTGCACTAGATAGGCATTAGCATACTGTGATGATGAAGGCCATTGTGCCACGTTTAATTCACACGTAAAAGGCTTTTTAAAGTACAAGGGCAGTAAAGAGTTCTGTCCATATTTGCTCAGCCCTACAGTAGGCAATTCCCACACACAGAATTTTTTTTTAAATATATATGTAGGCCTATATATACATATACATTGTAGATCAGTGGCCACGTGATTGCCTACACCTGTTTTTGTGAGGGGAACTAAGTTGTTGGAACGAAAACATTGCATTGTTTCTTTCTTTTTAAACGTTCTTGCATGTCACTGCATTTGATATGGTTTAATTAATAATATTATAGAATGAATAATACATTTACATGTTATATTTAAAAATTACATTTCAATTTAATTGTATTATTTTAGTTCAGACCTTGTTTAATAAATACGGCTTGTGTGTTCATTTGCGTTAATTTGCGATGCGTTAATTTGATGATTATTGACAGGTGCAATCGTGCAATCGCACACGTTTCTTTCACGTCGCTGAAAAATGACGCAATCGAGACGTATAAAAGAGCCCGTCCTCCTCATGACGTTCTCTTGAAGTCGTTATCGCTAGACGAGGTAAGGAAGTGGTCTCTGCAGATCTTGTGTTAACATCTCTTACAATCCATACTAATCCAAGATATTTACGTGCCATCCAGCTTTATTTCTAACATTACTTGTTTATTTACAGAACTATCTTGTCATCATGAGAGCGAAGGTAAGTTCAACTTTCATGTATACGTTAAATTGTGTTTATCCTTATCTGGCTAGTCTTGATAGCAACTAGGATGCTAGTAACGTTACACCATTTATTTCTTATAGTTTTTACGCGATAACTATTAATTGGGTTTTAAATGAGTTTTGCTTAAATGTCTTTTTTTTTTTTTTTTTTACGTGGAATAGCCACACGCAGTTAAGTTATGTTTGGGCCTTCTCTGCTAGCCTGCTAAGGCGGTTGTTTCTCAGGAGATATTTCGCAAGACCACGTTGAATTTGCAGCTACCGCATGTTGGTTTTATTGATTGCTTATTCATTGTTAAATGGCACTCTATTAGAAACTAAGTAGTATTCATTGTCGCTGTTTCTTGCATTTTTTTTTTCCGAACCGCCATGCTGCATGGCGATTTGGCGAAAATGCAGCCATTGCGCTAGTTGCTAATGCGCATGTGCAGTTTTTCTCCTTAAATGCTTTGTCTGAGTTACTTAATGAATTCAAATGTATTAATGATTGTGCTTATCTTTTAGTGGCGAAAGAAGCGCATGCGCAGGTGAGTTTAATTAAATGAGCTCACTTTGTCCCTCCTGCGTTGGAAGCATGAAATGACGTTCCATGTTTGTTTGGTTTTTAGGCTGAAGCGTAAAAGGCGAAAGATGAGGCAGAGGTCCAAGTAAAGCGGCCGCCGTGCGCTGAAGCTGGGAGTGCTCCTCCACTTCAATCTCTTCAGCACGAGTCTGTTGGAAGCCCAACTGAAGCTCCACTCAAGCACCATCTATGAGGCCTGCTTTCCCTGAATGAGGATTTGGTTTTCCATCACCTGGTTCTGCGGCAGAAGCATCCTGGTCTTGATGACCAAGTGAACTGTTTTGGACATTCCTCAGACCTGTCAGCTCAGCGTGTTTTTGTTAATGTCTTCAATAAATCTTTTTGGTTTAAAACAATCCCTTTTTTTGGTAATGTTTTATTAATGATGTGAATTTATTTGTGTATGATATGAATTGAGAAGTCTAAGATTGTATTTGCAGGACAGGAGCAGTAGTGTGGATGTGTAAACGGTTTAGATCAGACATGTGTTTGCTGCTATTTGATGGTGCTTGCTCCAGTTTTCTTTATCTGCCATGCAAAGTTTCTTAAAGAGTGCTAAAACTAAAGATTAACACTGGATTAAGTGACTAAGCAATTAAATCTTAGTTTTTAAACCATAGAATTTCATTGTGTTCTAAACATGAAGCTCCTCAGACACAACTGCCACTTACAGGCTTATTGTTCAAGGTCTGGCTATTGGTCTCCTTTGTATAGCGCTTTACAATATTGATTCAAAGCAGCTTTTAAGTGACTGGTGCTAAAAGTTCATTTTTTGACTGAAAAGGGTGTCAGCTGAAGTCAGTTCTGTAGATCAATTAAATTAAATCTATGAAGTAGTTCTGCATAAAACAAGTGTTCAGATCTCATCTGATAGTGTCAGTGTAGTCGAATCTATAATGTTGATTAAGATCCACAATGATTTTTATTTTTTTAATAGTTACAACATTTTTTCTAATAAGTATCTTATTTTAATGATTGTATAAACATGGAGGCCCCCTACTGGGTCACTTGCTAGGTTGAGAACCACTGGTATAGTTGACTGCAGTGGTAGCTGTATTTCTTGACCTTTTACAGTCTATGGTCTTGATATTACCTCTGATCTTTGGACAGAGTAATTGTAGAAAGCGTATGATTGAATAGAAAATGCCATTGATTTAAGATACATGAAACTTGCGTTAGTAGGCTACAGATTAAATCTCAGTTGTGGTTTTGTGTAGCAACAAACTCGGTGATGTGTTTATGTTGCTACGCAACAAATTCCAACATAAACTTGGTGACTAACTTTACAGTTAGCAATGCATTCAGTGTATTTTGATTGTAATGCACTGCAGCTTTGCCGGTAGCACATAATTTAGTCGAATTTTGACAAATGTTCGTTTGCATTACACTTAATTAAAAAAAAGTAAATTTCTGCTCAGCGTGCCGTGTACAAAAGCACACCGCATTGGTTGTCACATGACAGTGCTATAAAACAGAACACCCACGCGTCAGCTTAGAGGTGTGCTGGAGGATAAATATTTTTAACGTACAGTATTTTACAAAAAATATATCTTTTAACGCCCTGATTTCGCGTTTAGTATTATCTGTAGCGCACAGCACAACATAACGGGGCTTCAGTCAAAATGGCTGAGTTTACAACTGGTATCTTCGTGAAATATGTATTATCCCACACCCAGACATTTTAAGGTTCTTGCTGTGGTTTTAACAAGAATCGAGAAGGGCTGAAGCCTTTAAAACACGCCCCTACACGCCCTTCTCTTGGCAAACTAAAATCCACAACTTTCCGCTGCAAAGGAGCTGACGTTGGTGCTGTTTTTTTTTTCGCAGAATGACAAATTATAATATATTTTCTGATCATATTTAATCGTACGTGTATAGCACTCGCTAGTTTTGAGCTGTATTGCTTGGTTGTTATTGTCTAGCGCTCACAGTAGACAGGATTTGATGCCGAAAGAGCCGATGTCATCTGATGATGCGGGGCCGAGAGCGGGTGCCTCTCCGGAGGCTGCGGATTTGCCTCTGCCTCACTCCGCTGGGAAACACGCCGTGTCAGTTCTCTGGTCCTTCGGAAAGTGCGTCGCTGCCTTACTGCCAGTCTACCTGGCTGGATATTTCGGTTTCAGCATCTTTTTAGTTTTGCTCGGTCTTCTGGCTTATACGGGATGGAAACACAGTCGCGATGGAAAACAAGCGCGACTGTTAAGCGCGATGTATCTTTTGGAGAATGAGCAGGATGTAATCCCTACACGGGTGTTTCGAAGTAAACGGGACTTACCGGCATGGGTAAGTTAAGTGTTTTTGTACCATAATTGGTATCATTCTGGACTGGTTGTCAACCGTTCATCAACAACGTACGGTCTGCAACAAATGCAACATCTTTGCGCAGAGAGAAAGAGTGAAAGACAGTATTTATCATGCAATTTCTTGCTATTAGGCCTATTTGTGTTTACAACAAGCGTTAAAAGTTAATGGATACTCTCGTGTCACTGACAGACTGATTTCGTGTTACTGGTGGTATGATTTTATTTGTTCCCCTACTTTTACAGTACAAATTGTTAGCTATGAAAACAATCCCATCATTCTTCAACCTGTGAATATTTCCCCTCATAATTACACACTTGATGCAATTTATAGATATTTCTTTAACATCTTTTTTTTAGGCTACTGGTACATATTTTTTGTTATTACTAAGTAGCTAATCCAGTAGTTACCAGGACTAGTTAGAGTATCTTTTCCTATTTCACAATTTAACTATTGATTTATTTTTATTTATTTATTTATTTTATTTTATTATTTCACCCACACATAAAATCAAGACAAAATGGCACAGACTAAATGGCACATATGGTCATTTGTGAATCAGGTCTCCCAGAGAAGCTATCCAATATTATACTAGATTATACTAGTACTTGTTCCAATAGTGACCTGTATAAATTAGTCACTAAAACGTATAAGTTACCTGGTAGTACATTTACCTGTTACTGGTCACTACCCCATTAACAAGTAAATATCCCATTTTGAACTGCTGCTAACCAAATGCATTTACCATTGAATTTTAGATCTGTAATTCAGATATAAACTATTCACTTCTGACATATACATTCTTGTAAGATATTCATTAGTATACTACTAGTAGGCTACATAGGCCTTCTAGGCTGCTACTAGTCACTATCCCATTAACTAGTTAGTATAGGCTTACCATTTGTGACTGGTAACCATTACATTTACCACTGAATTTTAATGAGGACCTGTAGTTCAGATATTAACTATCCACTTCTGCCTAGTATGCATTCCAGTTGCTGGTAGTAGGCCTACCTATTTCAGTTTTTACTAATAACTGGGTGACAGTAGTCTTTAGTTAGTTAAATTAAAATAGTTGTTGGTATCTATTCCAGGTTTCCTAGCAGCAATTTAATAGAGACGGCTGTGTATTAGGCACTATTAATATGTATTGCAGCTTGTAGTAGTAACATGTTATTCTTAATAGTAAGATTATTAATTGAATCATAAAGTAGCTAAATAGCTATTCTGACTAGTCTACATATATGACAGGTAAAAAAAAGTAGTTGTTACTAGTGAGATAAGTGGGCTTCGCCTTCACTCATACAAAAGGTTTGTTGGATTTTTGTTTACAATAAACTCATAGTTTTGGTGCTGTGTTTATAACAATATTGCAACAGAATGCATGAGAATGCATGATCATGCCCCTGCATTACAACAACATCATGGTGAGACCTGCTTTCAGCCACTTCTGACAATAATTTTTTTTTTACAGTTTTGTCCCTTTCATAAACATTCCTCTCTGATATAGTTCATGTTTATATTCTTCTCTCCTCACTCCTTTCTTTGCCTGACCCTCATTAACTTCATTACATTCCAAAGTCAGACCAGCCCTTGCTATATTTGGAGCATTGAAGTATCCAATCTCATGGGACTGAGTCACCAGCAGCAAAATGGCAAAACGAGCCATTTGCAGCAAGAATTTGGTGAGGGGGTGATGGGAAACATGAAGAAGTTGAAAATTGTTTGGAAAAGTTTGACCTGTGCTCAGAGAAACAGTGGTGCCACTTTCCTCACATACCTCAGTAGCTTGTACATGTGTGGCTTTATTTAACCAATGCTTATTTTTTTGTATAAACCTACCCACATCCTATTACAAATTATGTGTTTAAATTTAAAGAGCACCGGTGTTTTTAAATATATATTTATGCATATGTAAATATGTATTATATATTTTTCTAGATATTAAAAATGTATATCTCAAAGTCCCTGGTTGGGAATCACTTATGTAGAGGATCAAGGATTAAACCTTTATTATTTAATTGTATTTATTTGAATGTATTTACTTATTTACAGTTAAACATTTAATATGAAGTCAGAGATGACCTTTAATCAAGGTTTCCTTTGCCACTGAATACTTGTTTATAAACACACCATACTTTTTACATGCTCTCTTATGATTCTTTCTGCTTACTATCATGATCTACCATTGCCATATAGATTTTGTTAAACATTTACAAGTGTGCAAGAATGACAGTATTTTCAAGAATTGACAGAACTTAATATTCCGGTGTATGCACAGCTGATCTCTTCCCTGGAAAAGGCTGTGTTTTGTTAACAACAGCTCCCGACCTTCACAGTATTTACTTACAGTGTACAACATAAGAGGTCTCCTTGCATACAGCATGTAAAACCAATCTGTTATACAGCCCGTGTTGACATCGGAAGTCAAAGTGTACTCCTTGTTTTTCCACAGGTGAACTTCCCTGATGTGGAAAAGGTTGAATGGATTAACAAGGTATTAAACTCTGTTCAAATACACAAATGTGCATGTGACCGCAGCCGCTGTTCTCATTATTTCTGCTCTGTGTCCCCGAGGGCACTGTACTCTGTGTATGTTTTCAAATTCAGTGCCTGAAGATAAATAGTTGAACGGTTAGGCAGCTCTCCAGTCTGCGTAATGTCTATTAAGTTAGTGGTGTTTCTGTTGTCACTGGTGTAATAGATCTTATTTTAGAATAAAGGACCCACAGACAAAAATAATTAATACTGGCTTTGAGATTTAATTAGTCTGTTCACATATAAGAGCTTTTGTTTTCAGAGTACCAGGACAGACATTTCACAGATTATTCTTGCACACCAGGCTTGTTGTCAGGATTCAGGCTTCAAAAATTTGCCTCAAATAACCTTTTAAGTTTGGATAGTGAGAATGGGAGGGTGGATTGTGGGATGTGCTTTCATAGCTCACTACAAACACACACTACTCTTAAACATTACTTGAATTGATGACATTTGCAAACACCCTATATGTGAGTCTGTTATGATGCAGGTTTTGTGATGTTGATTTAACCATATT